TGATGAGCGAGTCAACCAAAAAAGAGTTCGCGGCGGGGCTCTCGGAGCATGACATTGTTGTGGGATAATTTGGCGAAGGGAGCAGATAGCCCTTTCTGGCTGACATTTCTTGTGCAAAACATGCTGAATACGATTAGCAATCCCCCCGCACCGCAGCGGGCGCCCGCAGCCAATCCCCAGCCAGGGTTTCCGCGCGACCACTCCCAGTTTGGTTTCGTAGGCGCGGGGCAGCTCTCTGAGGGCGCCCTCCGAGCCCGCGATTGATATAAATATGTAATCTGTATTGATGGGCCCGGAGATGCACGGCCGACACCTCCGTCCCAGAACCGCGAGCGATGGGGGCTGCCCCACCGGGGATGGTGGGGGGCCTGGCTCCTGGGCTCGCCCCGCCCCTTCCCGGCCAGGAGCCCCCCAGACAAGAGTCTGTTGCAAGCGCCCTTGGGCTGCGCAGTTAACAAGTGGCGTGTTTATGGTGCGAGCCCTGTCCCACTTGGGGTAGAGACAACTATTCCCCCGGCGACCACTGAGAGGGGCTTCACGCTCTGACCCTTCAGCCCGTGGAGCTGAATTTTAGCTCCCAATATGACAAACCTGATTCCAAGGCCACCAAGACCCTCCGCGTGTGTCAGGGATCTAGAGCTACTGCGGGTTGGCTCAAGCCATTTCTGTTCCCGCAGCGCACCAGGACGTTGTCTCAAGCACAATGACAGGGCCGGCTCCTCAGCCCTTGACAGCAAGTGTGCTCCGTCCCCGGGCGATTGATCAGTGAGGGTCTTCGCCCCTGCTGCTCACCTGGGTCCCCTTCCCTGCAAAGGTGCTGACCAGGAAGCCTTAGTGAGAAAGACATCCCCAGGCCAAGGCCCGCCAGGGTCCAGAGCCAGTATCAGGCACCGCTAGCACTGTCCCTGGGTGGGTCCTTTAACTCCCAGTCCATTTCAGGGAGTGAAGTGATGGCCTGGGGTCTTCAGTTTGTCCCGACTGGGGAAATTCATTAGGAAGAGACACTTGTAAGGAGGCACTTGGCTGCCACCTCTGTCACACTGTTCTCTGCCTTTAGCCTTGGCATTTGCACTCTCCGGGTGGCTATGACAAGAACCAGTGTCATCACAGTGCTGCTTCACCGTCCCCTCCCCACTTTCCCTCCCCTGCAAACTGGCGGCTAGGGCAGCCGTAGCGGCCGCGGTGTGCGCGCTTTAACGAGACCCGTGGTGAGGAAATCCGTTCCCCACGAGGCCGGCCGGGCACAGGGCCCAGAGAGAGGAGAGCTCAGCTCCAGCTCCGCAGCCAGGCGCTTTGCTCAGCGGACACCCAGGCCTCCAATCGCGCCGTTCCTGACGGGGATCGCCTTCTTAGTCAACTGCAAATGGCTGGCCAGACCCAGGACTAGCCCCCCAAGCGTGGGCCTCATCCTTGTCTCAGGAAATTCGACCTTTCCTGGCCGGATCCAGTGGAGCCCTGGAGGTCGCCCTTCTGCCCCTGGCCTGCAGTCTACGTCTCTCCCGAGTGCCCCAAGGCCTGCTGGACGGCCAGTTCCAGCTCCTGCGCAGGCCCTGGTTGGAGCTGCTGACTGCAGGGACCCCGGGGAAGCAGGGGGCTCAGGCCTTCTCTCTGCTGGAGAAGACCCACTCGGTCACCCCGCACTTGGCTTTCACCCTTACAGTATGAGACGGGTCTGAGGGGAAAAGGCAGCCTGAGAGAACCCTGCGAACGCACTGAGCTGGCGACAGAGCCCCGGCTTTGGTTCCTAAGATCAAGCAACTGCCGCTGGTGAAGGGCAAGCTGTTCTGTGCTCCTTGCTCCGGAGGCCGTGCCACCGCTGGGCACCACTGCGCTCTGGCCACCTCCACCTCTGCGCCCACGACTGACCAGCTGGGCCAACCGAGCTTAGGGTGACAGGGTGGAGGGACAGAAAAAGGAGAGTGCGACAGAGGAACAGAGAAGTGGGGAGAGCGCTAGAGAGTCAATTCTCTCCAAGCGGACAGGGTCCCTAGGCCCACAGCAGCGGCGCAGCCCAAGCGGTCAAGTCAGAAAGTCTCTGCGGAGAGAGCGTGAACTCCCCTTCTCCACCGCCTGGCTCCAGGCGCACAAGGCCAAGGCAAACCCTCTCCCGCCAGGCTCGGGCTACATGCTAGGCAGCCGAAGTTCCAAAGGTTTCAAAGCGCCCTCCGCCCTTCTTCCCTAGCTCACCAAGCGGGCGCGACAGAGTAGGAATGCTGCGTTTAGCAGCTCTAGGAGAAAGGCCACCAAACCACCGCGGAGGAGCCTTTGCCCTAGCACTGCCATTTCTGTTTGGAAAACTCGGACCACTGTTTTACCCAGCTCCCCGGCCCCACACACCTCCCAACAGTGGTGAAGGTTCCCTGAGAAAAATGAGATCCGGACTGGGACTTAGGTCCTAATCAAAGCTAATGAGAGCTAATCCTCACAGCTAATCCCAGAAAGCAGCTTCCCACACTGAAAAGGCTTCTCCAGAAAAGCCCGGGGCCTTGAAGGAATAGGTTTGAAGTGACCCGGAGCTACAAAATTCAAATGAAGGACAATGATCTGAACCTGGTTTCCATAGGCTTGTGTGTGTGTGTGTGTGTGTGTGTGTGTGTAGGGGAAGAGTTAGAGCCCCCTTAAAAAAAACACCTCATGTAAATTATTACTCCTAGTCTGTAAGATACTCATCTTGGCGCATTCACATCATTTGGCCCATCGCTTTCAAGGGGTTGGAAGACTCCTCAAAGCCTTCCCCTTGGGTTCACCACCGTTGTGATTCCAAGATCTATACTGGCTTTCCTGAAAATTAGTTGCTTTGCAGCCTCTCTGATAAGACTAGCTTGGTGCCCTGCTAGTGGCAAACTTAAGCCTGGTCCCTGTAGGGCAGCCAAGTGGGCTTCCAGGCTAGGTAGCACCCAGGGACGGAAGCACACACATGCCAAGCAAACTTACAAATGTCAGCGCAGACTGCACATGCCAAGAGAAGGCTGCAGAGGGGAAGATGGTGGCATGGGCCCTTGGGTCTTCCCAGGGGTCCTTTACAACAGTCAGATATTTTTCACCAGCAGGACTCTTTCCCAAACAGGAATGTAAGTTTTGAACGATTTCTTTTATTAACTTAAAAAAAAAAAAGCCTGGTGTGTGTGTGGCTGTTGATGGTGGCATATCAGCCCCAATTGCCTCCCCACCCCCACCTTACTGGCAGCCCCAGACTGCAGGAAATTGCCCCGCAACCGGGCGGTCTGGCCTGAAGCCCCAGCTTCAGCCTAGAGGTCTGGGAAACAGCCGAAGCTCAAGTTAAATGTTGCTGGGCTCCAGGGTGGTCTCAGAGTCCCCAGTATCTCAAGCTGGTCCCCAGGCTCCAAGCTCGCTAGCCTGGGTGTGAGCTTCCTCAATAAGATATTCCATTTATAGATGGCCCTGCTTTCCCCAGCTCCCCAGCCCCACACACCTCTCAAAGAGATTAAGCAAAGTGATCCCATTGCGACTCTGGTCACTCTCTCTCCCCCTCTTACCCTTTCAATTTCTTTCCCTCTCTCCCTTCCACTCTCCTTCCCAACAGCAGGATTTCTCCCTAGCCCTCCGATGCCTTTGACCTGAAACCTTCCATGCCTGCTTGCCCCAACCAGGCCTGGGTAGCATAAGTGCCTCCTATCTTTTATTTGGGTGGTAAGTGTCACCCCTTTCTCTAGCTAGGGGACAGCTCTCTCCACTCCTCAGCCCCCAGGGCTATGGGAGCCCAAAGAAAACCCAGACCCTTGTTGGGGGGGGGGCACCTTTTGCTGAAGATTATGTTATACTTCACCGATTACTCAACTCCTGTTTCTGAACAGGTCTTTGCAACTGATGAGAAATAATAAACTGTTATTGAAGGAAACTAATTTAGTGGGGTTTTTTTTGGTTTTGGTTTTGGTTGGTTGGGTTGGGTTTGGCTTGGAAAGTACTAGACCCTGACGTCCAGATAGCCAGTAAACAATTTGTGTCTGAAGGCTACTCTCAATGTGTTTGAGACTCGAAATTATTCCAGGGACTGTGGGGTTGTGTTGTGAATCATAGAGAAAAATAATCATTTTCCCACACAGCCAGCTTTAACAAAAATTCATGGCTTCTCACATTCACATAGTAGCAGTATTTGCATCTAGTTAGAACAAGGATGCTCTTTTCCTGGTTATCTATAAGGACACGGACATTTCCAGGGACAGGCAATGTGACGTGTCTGTCTACTTTGACTTAATCAGGTGTAATCTGTCCCTCCGAAATCCACAGAACAAAAATTGATCCCCCCACCAAATCAAAGTACCCCAGGGTTGGCCCTTTCCTTCAGGGGGTGGCTAGTGGGGTGTCTTGTCATCCACACCCTGAATTGCAGTACCCTACAATTGCCTGTCTGCAATAAGCCGCTGCTGGCCTTAAAAGAGAGGCATCGCCCTGGATTTTAGGGAAGGCTCAGGCTACAGAGAACAGCTTGCCCGGTGGGTACCCACTGGATCTTGTGCTGCCTTATCCTGCCACAGTTCGGCAGCCCACTTGAAACAAAGACAGTGTGGCTTTCGATAGGCAAATTTTGCTTAGACACACACACACACACACACAGGCCGCATCTACCTTCTCTCCTGACCCATACTTTGTGTAACTGGAGAAAAGGAACTCCACACAAGGGATGAGGAAAGGATGAGGCTAACAAATTAACACTGGGAGATGGAGAATCCACCCCGCCCCCCCATATAAATAAATGATGGTACAGTTGAAAACGTGGTGAGTGAAAACGCTGATGATGTGAGTGCCCGCGGCAGTGTAAATACGTAGGTGTTTACCCACCTTCGCTTCTCTTAGAAATCGGACTTCTGGAAATGGGCCTGTTCCCGGGCAAAGCAAAGCGGCCCAACGGATCTAGGGACTACCCCTAGTCTACCCAAGGAATAAGCCCCCTTGAGCCATTGTTTCCAGTAGAAACTTTGTGTTGCCCCCAACCCTGCTCTTTCTTCTGCCCTTACAAATTCTTTCCGCAGCCCAACCCGGGCACTTTACCTCCGTGAGCCCGCTCGCTCCATGTGGACTCTTTCTGCAAAATCGAAAGTCACTTTGGAGGTTAGTGGCCGGTACACAAGGATCATGGGAAGTCGCCAACTTTTCCACATAAGGCCTCCCCCTGCTTTCCAACCTAAGTAGAAGTGGGCCCCTAAAGCTGATGCACCCCCCTCCTCCACCCCATCACCAAGGGCTCAAACTCAGCCGGTCAGACGGGACGTCGGCCACCTCGGCACCCCCGCCCCAGCCAGCCTGAAATGACGAAACTTGTGGCCTCTTACCTTGACACATTTCCGAAATCACTGCCAAGCGGCAGCTGGCTCCTCTGCGCCACGACGCCTGCAAGGCCTGGGGAGGGCTCGTTGCTTTAAAAGACCACGCCGCTGCTTCTTGAGAGTGAGCTCCCTCTTTTTTGGGAGACGAAGGGGATCGGGCAACTGAAATAACGTAACGTGCTGCTCTTAGGATCAGAAGCGAACAAAGGCCAAGAATCGCGCTGGGGTTCCTGGCTCCCAGGCGGCTTTGACATTGATCGGAAGTGCGCCATCTCGTGGAGGCTGCGCGCCTAGGCGCCGCCGAGCTCCAGCCCGAGAATGCGAGCAGAGCCGGCTCCGGTGAGAGGAAGAGGCAGCGAGAGTCGGAGAAAATGTGCCCAGCCCGCTGCTATTGAGATCGCATTTTTACATCTAAGAAATTGCTGCAAAACCCCAGCCGGGTTTATAGCGGCGCATTCCAAATATGCAAATTGGCCGGCCCCGGACGGGTTTACGACCACATTGTCACAGCCATCGGAGGATGGGCTTTTATTGGGCTCAGAAATCAAACTGGCGCCCTCTTACTGCCCGCCCGTGAGCAGTCCTCCTGGCTAGACTCCCTCTAGCAACTTACAAGACTTTGGTTAATCTTTAACCATCCCAAAGGAAGTCTTTCCCTAAATCCGGGTCTTCCCTGCCCCCCTCGCCGCTCCTCACAGGAGGACTCTTGTTTGGTCTCTGTGTGTCTATCAACCTAGACATCCATCTGAGGTGGGTGGGGGACAGTCTGTCCCACTCCCCTTTCAGCTTAATTTCCTCTGTCTCGCCAGTTAGACAAACACACAAACAAACAGAGAAGGGCCTGGGGTCTGGGGCCTCTCTCCAGACACAGCCCTCTGCTTCATGCTGTACTGGTCCCTGCCTGGGTGGCTGACGAAAGGGTGGGGTAGGGTGGGCAACAAAAGGCTCTGGCCTTTCTGCCCTGCTCCTCAAGGTTATGGGTGATGTCCAAATTTAAGGCAGAAGTTCAAAGGCAGCAAACAAAGAGGAGCCGGCATCTTTTTTTCCCCTGAAGGGAAAAGCCTGCTGAGTTGGGAACTGGGCAGAGGCACTGCTCAGCATGGTGGGCCGCTCAGTCTGGTAACTAGGCTGGGCTCCTCTGGTTGAAGGGGACCCAAGGGCACCCCCAGTGTGATTCTGCTCCACTCCAGACCTCCCAGTCCTAAGGTGAGCAAGCCCAGCTTGGGGACAGACACAGAAATCCCCCTGAAGATCTAAGTCCTTCTCCGAGGGCAGGGTGAGATCCCACATCCCAGGCTCTGAGGCACCCTGTCCCTGGGGCACGGCCTCCCCCCTCCCCACTTTGCACAAGAACATGATCAGCCACCTAGTCCTCCTGAGTTTGGCTCCTACTGGGGTTAAATCCCTCCTCAGTCACCTCCCAACTTTCAGAGGCCTGGTAACTTGCTCCTTTGCTAGTGTGGGGTGCTGAAAGGGGTGGGGTGGGGTGGGTGGAGACATTTGGCAGTAAAAGGTGAGCAGGGAGAGGAATGTCACACCAGAACCCAATGCTCAAGTTTCCATGTCTTTATTTTCCTTGTGCCCCTCATCTCTATACATGCAAGGATGACATACACAGTGGGTGAGAGCAGAGGACAGGCCAACCCTCCTGCTTCAAACAGAGCCAGTCACAGACTCTTCTTAACACAGGAAGACAGAGGAGAGTCAACAAAGAGGGTCTCCAGGCCCAAGCGGTTCACCTCCCTCCCTAGGCATCCCCCTAGAGCTTTTCCAAATGTAGTTGGAGATGAAAGAGACTCTTTCCCACCCACTTCCAGCACATTCCACCAGCCTGCAGGAAATTAATGGTTAAAAAATAGTATTCGAGCAAAATAGGTTATGGTTCCTTTATTTACAAGTCTTTGAACACCATCCCTGTATGAAGCGTACATTCAAATATTCTTAGCAGTGAGTGAGTTTAACCGTGGAACACTGTAAACAATTACAGCCTTTAAATATCTTCTTCATCATCTTTCTTCTTCTACATTGCATCTTTTTAAATTCGCTTTGGTTCTTGCAGGGAAATATATATATAATATAATATTTACCTTTTAAAATAATTATCCAAACCACACTCAGCTCAGCTTTGAGGGGATCATCGGAACCTTTCCAACACAGTTCTGGGCTCCTGGGGGGCAGAGCAAGGACACTGGGCCAGGGTGTTTTGGAGGGAGGCCGCGAGCCCCTCATAGCTAGGCACTGCTGGCCAGGCCCTTGGCCCTGCTGCCCCACTGCTGGACACTGAGCAAATCCAAGTTTCAATTAAGTGCGGCGGCAGACTTGCCAAACTGCTGCTCTCAGCAGGCATTTCCTGCAGAAAGCTCTCTTGGCCTGGCCACTGCCCGTTGACTTTTCAGCTTTTCCATGATGTCTTCTACCTCAGGCCACTCTGCCCTGCGATCCTCAGGGCTTGGGGACTGGGTGGCAGGCCAGGACAAGACCTTGGTTTGTTAGGAAGAAAAATGAGGTGGGCTATGAAGAACGGTGGCTGCTGGGAGCTCTGGCTTGTGATAGTGGGTGGCTCAGAGGGGTGGCGACCCACTGCCACCACCTGGAATAGTAGATACCTCCCTCCCTCCCCTTTGAGGCTCTGAAACCCTCTTCCACCCCACATCCATCCACCTCTTAGTCCAGGGGTCTCTCACATGGGCTTTGGAGAGCAGTCTAGGTTGCCTCCCCTGTAGGAGCTGATCTGGGTTGGGGGAGTGAGTGCAAAGCTTCCTGATGCAGGGGTCCTGGGGCTGGGAAGGCTCCATGAGGAGAGTCTTGGACAGGGGTCAGCCTCTGGGGGGCCTGGCAGAGGGCCCAAGCCCAGGTGGATGGAGACCACACCCAACAGAAACTCCCCAAAGGCTCTTAACAGTGAATCACCAGGGGCCAAAACCATTCATTGGAGTCCCTGCACACCTCTTCCAATCCAATTATGATTAGGAATCCGTAATCGAGAATGTCCAAGCAAGTTCCTCGCTGGCCGCCCCATCTCCTCCAAAGTCACCACAAGACTTGACCTTGTCAAGGGCAAAGTCCGAGAATAATCTCAGGGACTGAAGCTCCTCACCCCATTACAGGCATCCGGGGCCTTAGAGGAGAGGGTTAGCTGAGTAGTACTGTAAACGGTCTCTGTTAATTTTTTTTTCCTTCATCCTTCTGTTCTGAAACCAGATTTTGACTTGCCGGTCGGTGAGGTTGAGCATGCGGGACAGCTGTAGGCGCTTCTCTTTGTTGATGTAAACGCTGAAGAAGAACTCCCGCTCCAGCTCCCGGATCTGGTACTTGGTGTACGGGCAGCGCTTTTTGCGGGTGCGTTGGCCACCTGTGCAGGGAGAAAGAGGCGAGAGAGTGAGCCAGCCTTTGGGGTTGCAGTTCTAGAGCCCAACTAAGGATGAGGCTCCCTTCTGGCCTCAGCGGCTGCACGGCCTGTCCAAGACCCCAGCCCGTCTCCCCAGGCCCCGGCACTTAGGCTCCTACTGCCGCCTGGGGACTGACTGTAGGAGGTGGCTCAGCCTCAGATAAAAGGCGGCTCCTTAGATTGGCCCCCGGGGAAGCTGCTCCCGCTGCCCCCTGAGCAGAAAGGAGGGCTCCTCACAGCCACAGGCTGGCTTGAGTGGCCGAAGAGGCCCTCAAAAGCAGCCCAGTGGGGGTTGTGGGCTGCTTCCCGCCCCACCAGACTAAACAAACAGCCGCACGCTGAAATGTCACCTTCCAGCACCTGGGCGGCCCAGGCCCGGCACACCGCGGTGGCGGTGCGGGCGGGGCCGAGCCGGCGCTCGTTCACGTCTGGCGCGGCTGCCGGGTCTTTGTCAGCGTCCAGCCTGAGCCCTGACTTTGCCGGCCAGCGCCAGGGCTCCCAGGATGTGGCGGGTAGAGCCCCTACGGGGCCTTGCCGAGACGTAGCTCGCCCCCAAGCCACCCTGCCTTAGGGATGGGGTTAATTTTAGGTTTGGTGGAAGGGTAAGGGGCTTTCCGGAGCTGCAGGCAGGTTCCGTTTGGCCTTCTTTTAATAAAGTCCCCCAAGACATTACCACCACTCCCCCCAAACCCAAACCTGCTTTTGACAGAATGAAGAACAATTGTGAGTAGCATGCAGTTAGACCGACCGAAGGCGGCACTTAATTGTCACCACCCCGGTGGAAAACGGCTTCCTTTAGACAAAAACGGGCAACTTCGGGTTTCTTGTAATATATTGCTGGAGCTAAGAGGGCTACTTTATCTGTTCACCGCTCTCCCAGCGCCATCGTTAAAAGCGCGAGGCCTTTGAATCTCGGCCGCAGCTGGGGGCCCAGCGCAACACATGGCTTTTATAAAAACCTCAGGATTACCTTGCTATCAAAGGCTCCTGGAACCCTTTGCCGGGGGAATTTACGGGCGCCCACCTCCGGCTCCCCAGCCCCGGAGCTGGCCCCGAGCGGGGTCGCGCTGCCGGCCTTGGGAGCCGAGAAGGTGGAAAAAGGCGAAAAAAGGAGTTGGTTGGTTTTTTTTTTGCCGGCATGCTTTGGCCGGTGGGTATTTCACGGCCAATTTCAGCACTCGCCACGTGATCCCGCCTTTTATAACAAAGTTTTGTTGGGGGAAACCTAAAGGCCCTTCATAAACCTTATATGCTTATAAAACAGCATATAAAAATTTAACAGCGGTGCTGCGCTAGATTTCCAACTCCCCTTTCAGAAAGCGCGGGGCGCTGCCTTTATACGTACTGGAGCCGCCGGCCTTGTCCTCAGTGTGGCCGGAAGACGACTCGGGGCTGCTGCTGCTCTCCGGGCGCCGCCGCCGCTCCTTCTCCTCCTCCGCCGCCGCCGCCTCCCGGCAGCCGCCGCCGCCGTCCGAACTTGAAGTTGTCGGCACGCCCGGGGCCACCGCCGCCGCCGCGGCGGAGGTCGCTGCAGCTGCCGGGGGCCCCTTCTCGGCGCTCTTGTCCCCGGGGTAGTCGGAGGAGCCGAGATTTTCCGGGGTGCCGTAGGCCGTCTCGAAAAACTGGTCGAAAGCCTGCGGCAGGACGCCGTTCCTGCCCACGCTGCTATAGAAATTGGAGGAGACGGCGGGGGTGGGGTGGTGGTAGACGTTGGCCGAGCTCTTGGCCAGCACGTCGCCAGGCACGCCGGCCGCGCTGGGCGCCTGCAGGCAGTCTCTGTGCACGAGCTCCTCCGCGGAGTAGCAGTGGGCCAGATTGCCACGGGGGTGCCATTTAGTGGCGGGCTCAATGGCGTACTCTCTGAAGGTCACTTCGCGCACGGGTTGGACCTGGGGCAGGTTGGAGGAGTAGGAGTATGTCATTGGGCGCGAAGACGGGGTCTGGGGCAGAAAAGAAGGGAGGCTGGAGAAATCTGGACCGGAGACGTAGTAAGTACAGCTTGGCAAATACATGTTAGAGGAGCAGGGACCACGCTCATCAAAATCCATCATTGGGCTACCCTGGGCTCTCCGCAGTAGCCGAGCTTAACATGATTCTCCCCTGCAGCTGCCTCTTTGAAGCGGATCCGTGAAGTAGAAATTTGGAGACGTAAGCTGACGTGGAAATCTATCCCCATCCTTAGCAGGGAGGTGCTGGTCACGTGACCCGATGTTGAAATTGACAAGCTGCGAGCTAGTCTTGGCCTTTTTTTTTTTTTCCCTTTTCCTTTCCCCCCACCCCCCAACCCTCCACCCCCACCCTCCCTCCCGGCTTCCTTTCTTTGTAGCCACCTCAGGGGAAGCAACAGATCGTCACTCGGTGTTCTCACCGAAAGCACGTAATCGCCGGTGTAACTCATGTTGGCTGGGGGCCTCCCGGCGCGCGACCAGGCTGGGGTGTGCCCCTATCCAGCTCGCCTGCGCTGGGCAGCCGGCTCTGGCCTTCGAGTGGCGCCCAGGGCGGTGAGAATGCTCAACCCCCGCGTGCGCGCCCCCCACACCGCCCCTCGGGTGAGGGTGCCCTGGGCTGGGGTGGTCGGGTGGGACTCAGTGGAGGCCGCGGATCTCGGAGTCTTATTCTCTTGGTGTCTCCCCTCGCGCCCCCTTGCTCACCTCTACTGGCTTGCTCTGGGAACCGCTTTGGCCTCCAAGCTTGGCTGGACCCCCTTCGGGGCCAGGGTGCGCAGCTAAGATGTGCCGGCCTCGTGGCTTGCCTGATTTGCACGGTGGCTTGATTACACGCTCGCATTCACGGTCACTTCCGAAGCGCTTTAGTACCTTCCGTCCCGAAACCGCCAACTGCCCGGGAGGCTTTATACCCGCGCTTGGTCGGGATCCACAGGGCCCGGAAGGGCATTCGTCTCACCCGGGATCCCCACTCTGCCTTCATTCTCACTGCCCGCCGCCTCCCTTCTCCCTCCCTCTCTCCCTCCCTCCCTTTCGCTGCCCACGGGGGTTCAGAGGCGTTGGGCCGTGCCGCTGCGCACAGGTCCGCTGCCCCGCGTAGTCTGCTGGCGCCGAGAACTCGAGAGACCACGCAGTCGAAGCGAGCATGGGCTGCTCTAGGGACGCTGGTATGGAGGGAGCCTTCTCCTGGGTATGCTGCACCTTCCGGGATGGGGGTGGCTCACCAGGTTGTTTTCAAGGGAAGGTGGGGGCGTCAAAGAGGTGGGTAAGGGCTGAGAAGTGGGTAGCCAGACTCCTCTGCTTTCTCACAAAGCTCTAGAGAGTGAAAGCTGAGGATGGGCAGGGCAGAAACTCAGAAGGCTCGGCGCCCTTCCTGTCACTCATCCCAGAGATGGAATGCACTGTGAAATGAGAGAAGGGATCCCCGACTCTCACCTCGGGTGGCAAAGACCCCTTCAAAAAGTCTAGTCTCCAGCAAAAGACCGAGAGAGACGCTAGAGCTCCTAATGCGAGTGTAGTTTTTTGGGGAAGAGAAAAGACAGATTAATAAAAGGAAAAAATAAATAGAAAAATGCTCACGGTCCTTCAAGATTGGGTGAGCGAGGTTGGGGGGAAGTGAAAGGGCGCAGAGCAGTGAGGCCGAGCCTGGAGATGGGAGGGGGCCCAGCCCCTAGCTGTACCCCCTTATAACAGTTTCTTAGAAGGAGCTGCGTTATTGCTGAAGGAAAGTTGAGAAATGAAAAAGGATAACATTTTTCCTTTTCCCTCCCGTCCAGGAAGTCGCAGAAGGTATTTACATATCTCGGGGAGATTTAGAGTATAATCTCTAAGATCTTTGGTATTTAAGTGTCAACATCGATTTATTTATTTATCGCTGAGCTGACTGTAACTGACTCAATGGCAAATCTAATCGTGTATTGCACTGGAAAAGGAATATTCTATTATGTATTTCCCCCCAAATGATGGCTTACCACTGCATTTGAATGCCCGCAGTAAATATCAATAATATCAGGTAATTATGCTACAGTGGAGTAAACTAATTTATTAGCATTAATGTTTATGTGGCTCCCTCCCTTGCCTCCCCCCTTTATAAGGGCTGCTTATCACAAATCAAGTTCCTCGGAGACACATCGGTTTAATGAACTCTTTATTCAAGATTTGCTGCAAGAACTTTCATGCCCTTGAATCCTTGGAAGATGAACTTTAAATTATTTGTGCATCTTCAGCTTAGCTTGTCATATTTCTCCACTTGCTTGTGCAGTGGGTGGCAGTGGTGTGAATGAGAAGGGTCAATGAGAAGGAAGGGGGAAAGGTTGCTGGAGAAAGCGGTGCTGAGACCCCCCCTAAACCTGGGAATCACAGGATTGTCCTGCAGTGGGGAGGGGAGAGAGAGAGAGACACTCTGATTTCTAAAAGCAACCAACAGGGCAAAATATTTGTTTCTCCACAGCATCTCTTTCTTGAAGACAAAATATAAGAGAGAAGGACAGGTTTGCAAACAACAGAACCCGCACTGTGTCCTGGCTTGGTTTTTGCGCCATCCCCAACTGTCTCCCAACAGCCCACCCAGTCCCCGCCACCCCGACCCTGGAACAAAAGGAATGTAGGAGGTTTCAGTGACTTTGTCATAACAAAGGCGCCACCATTGCGGGGGCTCGCCCCGCCCCTGGGTGAAGGCAAACAAATTCTTGCACTTGTATTAGGGCTTTTAAGACCATAATTGAACTCGGGGGCATCTAGGGGGAACCGAAAACAGTTCTAGACAGACCTGTGGTTTTATAGCAGTTTTGGCAGTCAACTTCAGCTTGTGCCTAAACAGACGGCCACGGTGGCCTGGCCGCCTGCGGGGGACGCCCAGCCCCTTCCCCTCCCCAGGCTGCTGCAGCCCCTCCTAATTAGGCCATTTCCCCCTTGGTGCGGGCTTTGCGGGTGCCCGCAGAAAGGTATGTATGGGGGCGTGCGAACGCTGCTGGACTTAACCTATGCCTCTCCTGTTCTCCTCGAGGGCCAAGCCAAAAGGATTCCCGGCAAGTCTGGATCCCATGGGTGGCTGCGGAAGACAAAGGAAAATTTCTCGGGAAAGACTGGGTCAAGAAAGGTGCTCTGGGAGTGGTTGGCGGGGCAATTCAGGATGCTGGGCAGAAGCTGCATACCCGAGGGACTTGCAGCTTGGAAGGGGGGCGGGTGGGGGCGCTGCCGTGAAGGTGAACGGGGGAAAAAGGGTTTCAGTGCTAGGGGAAAAGAAAATGCCTAGGGCGGCCGAATGCCTTTAGTCCCCAGCAGGCGCAGGAGGGGCCGCTCAGATCGCCCAGGCTGCGCCGCGTTCCCAGTTTGGCCGATCAGGTCCTGAGTAGGCGGCCCAGCGGAGTCGGTTTGGCCTGGCCGACCGGCTGGGGGGCTGGGAGGGGCTCCACTCGGAGGAGCAGACCAAATCTTGGGGAAGAAAGGGGAGGCAGTGCTGCGTGTCCTTGGATTTGACTCTGCTCTTGGCCTGATTGACTCTTCCGCTTCGCAGGAGGCCTAGCACTCGAGTTAAGCTCCGTGGAGCTCCCTGGAAGACCGCCTGGAGCAAGGCTGCCCCAAAGGCCAAGTCCCACTTGCATTTCTTGAAGAGGCTGCGGCTGGCAGGGCTGTGACATTGGCCCCAGCGACCGGTTTCCCACGAGCAGTCCTTTCTCAGGAGCGCCCAGAGCGCGGGGCCATCTCCTGAAAACAGTCCTCTGCTCCTATTTCCGTATATCGTCCACCCGGAGCCCGAGGGCTGCTCATGCAAGAGGCCAAAACTGTTCTGGAGGATGAAAAACAAAGGCAGGAAGTGGCGGCGGCCTGACGGTGCGTGTGTGTCTGCGGAGAAGGGAGGGAGCGCTTGCAATCTCTGGTTGTTTTTTGTCAAACTTCAAGGTCTAGGCGGTCCTAGCCTGGCCGGCCCGCGCCGCTCTCGTGCAGCGTTGGGAGCTGGCCACCCGGCCAGAAGGCCCGCTTCAGCCTCGGCAAGCGGAAAAGGCCAACAAGGCCGATCTTGTCAGCCAAACAGACCTAACCTGTCTGGGGCTTAGTTTGATTTGGCCCCAAAGGTGAGCGGGGTCGGGGTGAGTGGGGGGATGGGAGGAAGATGTCCTGCTCTTCTCGGACCCTCCCTGGCAGGCAGAGTGCGCCCGGGGGCGGGGGCGGATCCCTGCGCCCTGAGGGCCACTTGCGTTCCAAGTCAGGATACGAAATAAAGTGGGACGGGGCTCCTCTGCCCAACACTGCCGCCTCTGCTTCTTTTTGCAGTCCCGGGGGCGGGGTGGGGGGTCGCGGCTGGAGAGCGCCTGAGGCCAGTGCCGGAGCGGGTCGGCCTCCCGCCGTTGGTGTGCACCTCAGGTTTTTCACTATGGCTGTCGGGAAGGGGGCAAGCACCATTGATCCACAGACGGTGTTTAAGGGCCGCCCATGCCAAGGGAGGATAGAACCGGGGAACACGGAGGGTAGCCCCTCCATCCTCAAAGCTCCAAAGCCCAACTCAGAGGCGCTCCTGGGTGGTTTTCTAGTCTCCTTGGGATCGTCGTGGCCAAGGTGACTGCTGGCCGCCCCTGGGAGTCTGCGAATTCAAAGGCACTTGCCCTGAATGTTCGAGATGTCATCAGAGCATGGATACTAGCACTGGGCTGCCCACTTGCCTAGTTCCTTACCGTAGTTGCTCCAGGCCTCTCTTCAAGCCCTGGACCTCCACCTCCCTCCTGCCTCCCTTGAGACCACTGCCCCTTCTCTTCAGCCTCCTCTCTTCATGAGCCACTCCTAGGCCAGACAAGAGTTAAGGTGTCACCCAAGGACACTAGGCACAGAGACATAGGGCGCTCTTTGTTGGGTCCCTGCCTGTCCCCAAATTTATGCCTCTACCAGGAGTCTGAGCTGGGTCTCTTCTTCCTCCCTTGAACTATTTCTCTAGCCCAAGGCCCTCCTTTACCAACACCGGGGGCTTTCTCTTTTCTTGGGATCTAGGTCCTACTTCTTTAGCGTGGTCAATATGGGCTGGTATGAGCCCAATATATCAGAGGAAGGAGAATCTGGCTTCCAAAGCTTACCCTGTGTCCTAGTGGATTTGACTGATCAGTTAGAGCACCATTTAAAAAACAAAAAACAAGCAAACAAACAAAATCCCTCCTCTAGCTATCTTAGCTCCTATCTTCCTCTGCCCACAAATGCAGGCCTGTCTCTAGACA